TATATATATATATATATATATATATATATATATATATATATATATATATATATATATAACAAAGCATTTGATACAACCTACCATTGTCAACCTCTCCAACCACCACCTCCATTGTCATTGTCGTCGCTAGCGCAATATCCCCTCAACCATCGCCCTTGTTATCTATGGTAGTTATCAATTGTCAACCCTCTCACTATAAGAAATTTTGACTAAAAAAATTTAGTCACTAACACTAAGGCTTTTTAGTGATCAAAATTTGGTTGGTCATTTTTCATCACTAAAAATCAATCACTAATTTGCAAACCAAATATAAAAATGGTCATTAATTAATGACAAAATTAAAGTGGTCACTGTGTTTGTAACAACTAATCTAGTCATTAAGTATCATAAGTAAACCGTTAAAAGTTGTCACTAACTTGATTAAGTTAGTGACCAAATTTAATGACCACCATGAAATAGGTCCCTAATTGGGTTTAAGATAACGACTCCGTTAACATCTGTTAGCCTTCAATTACTGAACAAATATATGGTTATTGATATTACTGGCTTTTTGTGAAAAAAAAAGGTGGCCACTAATTAAGAAAGTATGAAACAAAATAAAATAAAGAATTCTCACTAATTTCTATTCTAATTGTCATTGAAATAACACTAAAACCTATGAATTTGTAACAATGAAAATCTCAAATATTAGTTTCATTTACTAAACTTAAAAAAAAATTGAAACTAAAAACAAGCTATATGGATATATTTCTAGCTGATTAGGGAGGGATTGGCCAAAAACCAGTTCTCTCGCTAATCAGCGAGGGACTGACCAAAAACCAGTTCCCTCTTCATTTTTGTAGTGTGCGATTGCTTAGCTATATGGATATTATTATACTTAATATTTAAAAAAAATAAAATGTATCTTGATAAATACCAATAGCTAATCCGAGACAAATATATATAAGTTCGCTACGGATTAGCTACGAAACTTAATTATTACATTTGATATTTTAAAAACTAAAACAAATCTTGATAAAATCCTTATTTAACCTGAAGTAAATTTATATAATATTGCTACAAATTTGGTCCATGTACTTTGTTGAAAATAGTTTTTTTTTCATCCGTACAGTTTGAAGGTTACAAGATGACTATCGTGGTTTGTAAAAACGTCTGGATTTGATTCATCTCTCTAATTAATGGCAGTTAAATTAAAAGAGAGGCGTTTTGTTCTTCTACTGATATTTTTTCTTTTACCCAATCAAAAAACCAAATGGACCAAAATCATAGAATCGATCTTGATCAGGTAAATATATAAGTTCATGAACGAGATGGATATTAGCCTATTTTGATCTCAAAGATGTGTGATTAATCTTGGTACATGGCAAATATATAAATTCATGAAAGAGTTGTTACTCAGCAGTTGATATCTTAATGAAATGAAGCTAGAAAGCTTAATCATAGCTCAATGGAATTATATATTATTACTTAAGGGCCGTTTACCTAAATGCTTACCTGGTAAGCACTTACGTTTGGAAGTTAACACTACAATTTATTTTACCGGGTAAGATTGTAGTACATCGAAATGGTATCGTATGCAACAATTTACCTGGTTAAACGCTTACCCGGGTAAGAGTCTTCACCCTCGCTTACCAAGTAAGATTCTTCATCTTCATCATCGCTTTTTCCGGGTAAGATTTTTGACCCTTGTCATGTTTATCCGATAAGAAAAACTATCCAGTAAACATTTACTGGATAAACGTATAGTAAACGGTCCGTTAGTTTAGGAAAGTAGATTAATTTTATAGACAAAAACATGAAAAGTTGTACTTTCTTACTTGAGGATTCTTAATGGCTGAAATTTTATGTCAAAAGAGAACTGAACTATGACAGTTTTTAAGCCCAGTGGATTGTTGGGATTGCCACTAATGGAAAATTAGGCACCAGAGTCCACACTACTCTCTTATCATTATCCACATGCATGTATACCAGGGAAAAAGTTCTTGTAAACAAACATCAAAGAAGACTTGTTTATGTTTGTTCGTTCGTTTAATTTAACCGTAAAACAAACGATCATGAACGGTTCATATATATATATATGGACAAGATCAAATGTTAACCAAAGTTTTTGTGTTAACTTTGCAAACCATGTCAACCAATCACAATCCATTCTTCTATTAGGTATCTATCATGTTCACAATTTAATGTCAAGGGTAATTGAGTCATTTCATTTGCTATGTAACTCCCATACCATTAAAGGGGAGTTACAAAATCATAAAATTCCTAAAAATATACATTTATAATATTGATATTTTTATTTATTTTTTTATTCTTGATCTTCCATTTTTATTGTTTTATGAGTTTTTGATTCGTGGAGGAAACACGGTAGTAAAATCTTCAATATCGTTCAAGCTATTATGGATAAACACATTGAAAAAAAAATCGACAACATTGAGAAGATTAAAATGGTTTATGGTGACAATCGGAGTTAGAGTTCGGGAAGTGAAGAAATTAACCAAAGCGAATGTCTTGGTAATGGAATAATATTTTATTAAACTCGTTTTAATCGAAATTATGTTTATTATGATGTGTTGTGTTTCTTGTAGTTCATATTGTGTTGATAACTTTTTTCTTTAATTATTAATACGTATCTAATTCACATGTTCAAATGGAAGTACATGCACGACTCATTTTCAAATTGTCATATTACCGACTTGTATGAATCATAAACCATCGTTTTCATGTTACTTCTATCATATGAACACAAGTGTTATTCTTTAAGCTTGATATCAAATCTTTATATTTGTGTAAGTGTTTGCACCCGATGTTCATAGCGTCGGGGTTTTGTGTTCATATATTTTATACGATATGAACAAAGGTGAACACGATATGAACAAGGGTGAACACGAGATGAACAAAGGGTGAACAACCACATAAGACCAGAAACATATATAAACAACGGGTGAACCTTAAACGGCGTGGATGCAATGCATGTATAAAACTCCAATTGACAAATGATCGCTCCTGAATATGTTTATAATGAAGGAACTATTGTTCACAAGCTGTTCATATCGTGTTCATACATGTTTTTTTATTTATTTCCTTTCGTATAGCAGTTATTTTTATTATGTTCATATTGTGTTCATAAATGATATGCAGCCAAAGTTCATATATATGTCGATTTTTTGTTCGTATTTGACACAATGGTTCATATGTATATAGTTGTGTTCATCTGGTTTTACATTAACAAAAATCATATAACTTTTTGATTTTGTAACTCCTAATTAATGATATGGGAGTTACATAAAAAAATTACCTAAATACTCTTTTCAACTTTGTTCACTTATCTTTATGAAATTTTAAAATTAAAAAAATAAGTTTTTATCATGATTAATCACAACCGTTTATTGAAAGATTGAATGGCCAAGATCGGTTAACAAAGTTAATACAAAAACTTTGGTTAACATTTGAACTTGACCCTATATATGTATGTATATATATATATATATATATATATATATATATATATATAAACGAACATAAACAAATATGGATGAACGTAATTGAACAAAAACAAAAAACATCATGTTCATGTTCGTTCATTTACTAAATAAACAAACATATACGAACTTACCCCAAAACGATTTACCAAACGTTTGGGTCATTTACAACCCTACGCATCATAGCAAATACACAACGAGACAAAATAATGGCAAAAAAAATGACAAGCTAAACAAAGATGATTTATTACGCATCTAGCTAGGAGCATGTAACACGGTGTATAGATGATAAGAATGAAAACCATTTTGTTAAACTAAATGACAAGCTATCGACATCGATCAAATGACCGAAAATGACATTAAACATCAAATTAAATCAACTATTATTATGTAAAGGATATATTTTTATTTATGTATTTGTAACAGAGTTAAGAGTTAATTGAAGTCAATTATGTACTCGGTTAATAGTTAGTTGTGGAACAAGGATACATCTCTAAACAAGAGTCGTACAGATGCATTCCTAATTAACTAATTCAACAATTTTGTTGCTTCTTCATTCAGCCTTTTCTTTTTGTTTTCTTTGTGGCGTTTCTGCTCTGCTCAATACTTTGATTTCTTAGCTTTCTTTGCTCTTTGATTAAAACATGGTAATTGCTAGCCCGATGACAGGTGCTAATCATCATACATACAACACTGGATCGGTATATTAGTGTCACAACAGCCGAGTGTGGATAACTATTATTTTTAGAGTTAATACAAAGGGGGTAGCTTATTTCATGAAATTGAAGGTTTTGCCCCCAAAGAACACATAACCTCCCAATAGCCCATGAAAATGGGAAAGTCGAGGGTCTTGCACTTTCCCTTTCCATAGTCCTCCAAATGAGGCCAATAGGACCTATTAGATAGATCCCCATAGCCCCCGTTTGAATACTCAATATATGTATCTATATTATATTATAGAGATGGCCAAAAACCGGTCCCAGTCGATCCTCATCTTTCTCATAACCGGTCCCGATGTAACCGATCTCGGTCTCGGTCCCGGTCGAGGTCGAAAATGATAGGACCGGTATAGGTACTTCATAACCGGTTATGGGCCGTCGGTCCCAGTCCCAACCGGTCTTTGCATTAAAAAAATAAGATTTTATTTTGATTTTTTTAATGATATATATTTTTAATACATTATAAATTTTACAATTTGGTCACTCAAATACACTTTAGAAATACGTTTTAATATAATTAAAATTACGTTTTCTTATAAAAATACATTATAAAATTATTTAAAAATACATTTATTTATAGAATTATTTGAATTTTCGAGCCGGGCCAGGCCGGTCCATAGTCGGTCCCATAACCAGTCCTGGTCCCAAGAAACTACCAAAAACCTCAACCRGTCCCGGTTTTCGGTCCCGGGCCGGGCCGGGCCGATTTGGCCATCTCTATTATATTATAAAGCATTTGAAAAAAAACTCTTAAAAACAATCTTTTATGCATAAAGTACTGTTTACTAATACATATTACTTAAAATTCAAGATTACAAGTAGAATATGCATGAGTACATCTTATTAAAGCTCCATGTTTGAATTCGTGTAACTAACTGTAGATAAA